AGATAATCTCCTAGTTAGGTTGCAGGTATGGTGGCTAGTGTAGAACCCAGGTGGACTACTTAAATTAGATACCAAAAGTACATGTGTAGCTAGTTGTATCCTTGTGAAATTGATATAATATCGTAATTATCCAAATAAAGCTATGTACCAGAGACCTAAGTAGTTACCTTAATATTTAAAAAAAAATAAAAATAAAAATAAAAAAATATTTTAATTAAAAATAGTAAGTAGAATATTGATTATTGGCTAGCAGCTGCTGCAAATACTCGATATCAATTATTTTTTTCTTAGCAGCTGCTAGAGAAAAATATTGCTTACTTACTCAAACAATTCTCAATTTTCAAAACTTTTATATGTGTTTAGTCAGTAATTTCTTACAATAAAATGAATATCTATTGTATTAAAAACACATAATTCTATAAATCACGTGTTTTAAATACTAATAGTTTTTGTTTCATCTCAAAAATTAAAAAACTTAAATTAAAATAAAAAATATATATATTAAACTACTCATTTTTGTCATACTATAAAAAAATAGTTTTTTAATATTTTTGTTTTGTTTTTTTTCTGCTATCCTTGCAATTGCTTATGCATGGTATATAACATAAGCAAGATTAGCATTATCGATGCTACTTTTATGGCTGGGCCCTCACCTCCCAGCTACCAAGAAGTATTATACGCTGATCTTTTATTTTATTTTACAATAATAATATAATATAATTTATGTTAAATAAATATAATATGTAAAATTGCTAAATGATTTTAATATTAAAATTAAAAGTAATTTTTAGTTATTAAAATTTTATTTTTATTTTTTTAAACTATAATTTTATTTTAAACTTCTAAAAAAATATAGTTATTTGAATGATTTTGTATACAATAAATATATATAACATGAAGCCAGCCAAAGATAAACATATTAGCTAGAATATATCCAATAACATGTAGATAATTATAACTTATTATGAATTTATACATAATTGATGAACAAAAGATAACCAAAGTATAAATTTTCTTAAAAAAATGGTTCTCTTTGATTGTATTGTGATATATTTTGATAAAATTAATTAAATTTTGATGAAAAATATTATTGATTTCTAAATTATTTAGAAAACCAAAGAAGATGATATTATCAACTTTCTTTTTAAATACTGTCAAATTTTCTGATTGATACAATATAGCTTTGTCCAATGATTCTACTATAATAAGTTTTAATGCATTAACTCTTGGTTTTGATTAGTTAACTCATCAATATTGTTTTGCAAATAATTTACTTTATTTAACAATTTATTGTTGTATTTGATTAGTTTATCACGATCTGAAGTTAGAGCTATATTTCGTTGCAAAAGATTTGTATTCTCATGAAGCAGATTAATATTTTGTTGTTGAAGTTTATGAAGATTAATTTGTGAACTAGATGCTATTCTTAAAGATATAAATAATGTTTAATAATTTATTTATATAAAAAAAATAATAAATACAATTAAAATAATAATATTAATAATAAAATAAATTATAAAAATATAAAAGCTAAAATTTTAATACATGTTTTAAACCAGGATATAGTGAATATGATTTGTCTAATTTGTCTGTTGTATCAAAACCACTATTAATTTTTTGTTTTTTATTTTTAAATGCATTAATTTTTAATTCTTGATATTTTAAATTGTGCTTACAAACTTTCTCTTTTTTTGTTGAGAAGTATATTCACTGTTATTAGAATCAGGTTCAGATACTTTCTTTTCTATATTATTGTTAATTTCAGAATGTTGATCTTTTAATTGTAATAAATCTGAATCTAAAGCATGTATTTGTTGTTTATAATTAGATAATTCTTTGCAATGTGAATAATCTTGTAAATAATGTTTTTTAAATTTAGGAAAAAATCTATATCAATAAACCTAATTATCTTTGATTATAACTTTATCTGGTTTATCTTTATTAAGCTCTTGAATGATTTTTTTAGGTTCTTTGATAGTATTTGCATTTGTCATATTTGAGATCCCAAATCATGGCTCGAAAATCAAATTTTAAACCTTTATAAAAGATGAGTTGAGTTATATGTTTTTCAATATTATCATTCCAACTATCTTTAAATTGAATTATAAAATCAAGTCTTTGTTCAAATTGTTTCTAGTCATGCTGTGTAGATGTTTCATCATCTATATTTCTTTGACCAAAATTAAAAGCTTCTTCTGGATATTTTTGTGATGTCATAAAAATATATTTTGCTAAAAAAGGTACAAAACTTTTTCCCTTAATTTCAACATCTTCTTTAGTATCATTTAAATATTTAACTATATCATTCTAGTCAAGACATGAATACCATTCATCAAATAATACTATTGAATAACCAGAATAACTATCCCACCAATTAGATTCTGAGCATTGTTTCTTTTTCTTATTATATATTTCTGAACAAAATAATTTTTGAACAAGATTTGATTTGCCAGTGCCACTCTCACTATAAAAATAAAATGTTAGTGGATGCCAAAATCTTTTTGATTGAGATTTATTTTTTGCTTTAGCAATCTCAGTTTCTATCAATTTTGCTTGGAATAGATTATTACTAAAGGGAATGATATCTTTATTCTTTTTAACTATATCTAAAATGTTGCACCATCTAATAACATGTTATTTCTATCAATTCTTGCATTATGAATTTGTAATTGTTTTTCTTGGTATTCTTTATATAGATCAGACTAATCTCTTGATGGGGCAAAATATTTATATTTACCAAATTCCCAAGGACTAACTAAATCTTGTGACAATAAACTTCCATCTGAATTCATCCATTATGCCCAAGTTCTTTTTATAATACAACTTTTATTATATACATTACAAATATTTTCATGCACCAAAAAATTACAGCAATATTTTTTCATATATTTTGGTTCTTTATATTTATTCCAAGGCTTGCCAAAATATACTTGATTTTGTTGTGAATCATCATTTAAAAACTTAGAAAAATTCATAGCACAATGATTGAAAATATAATTTTTAATTGATGAAAATGTTTGGTGTTTTTTTTCTTTAAATTGAAAATAAAATTGTTTATGAAATTGTTTTTGCATTGTTGGTTCATATTGACTTTTACAATATGAGACTCCTAGATCTTTTAAAATTTCAAATTCAGCTTGGATTTTTGGAATCGTATGTTTGCATTTTATATTTTTTCTTTACAATATAAACAAATAATATTATTGTATTGACGAAGCTTACAACAATTTCTATACTTCTTATTTTGATATCTCCAATGATTAATATTGTATAAATTACACAAAGGAATTTCTCTGTTCTGGCAAATTTATCTTCATGTTGTTAATATTCTTTTTCAGAAGATTCTCTCTTGCATTTAAACTTATTAACACAAGAAATACAGTAATATACTATACTCATCATATGTTGAAATTGATAATTCTTCATTGTAAATTTGTTATACATTGATAATTCTTTGAAATTTGAAATAGATTTTTGTAAGAAAATGCAGCTATAATTATTGGTTGAAAAATAATGTCAAAAAGATTGATATTAAAAAAATTATGATTATAGAGATTAAATTTTTGATTTAATTTAATATAAACTTGTGTCTTATTATTTGTTTTGAAAATAAGGTATTTTTCAATTGATATATTGCATTCAACTAATAAAAATTCCAAATATGATAAAATATCTTTTAAATCCAAGTCACAATTTGAATAAATCAAATAAAATTGTCGAGAATAAATTCTAATCATTTTAATTTTTGATATTAAAATGATATTTATTTATACTTTTTTATTACGCATTTGTCATGTGTTAAAATGTGATTGGTTTATTCAATTATTACTAGAAAATTCTTTTTATTATTTAAAAATTAGCTAAGCAATTTATATAAACTTCCTTATGCAATAATTTATAGTTCACTCTCCCTATTAATCACTTGTACCAAAATTCTTCAGAAAATTTTTCAAACTCAAAACACAGTGAAGAGGTTATAAGAAGCACCTGGAGTCAGAACGAAGCCATAAGTCAGCACCTGTTGTTTAGAGGTAGTTTTCATATGCTACCTGCCGACAGGTTTAGAGTTTATCACTTACTGCTGGGACAGCACTTGTTGTTTAGAAGTAGTTCTTATATGCTACTTGCCAACAGGCTTAGAGTTTATCACTTACCAAAAAGAAGAGTTCGTTTGGGAAAAACAGTTCATGACAAATAACTACTATTTGCTTAGTTGCTCATTACTCTGGATAAATTTTTTTTTTTTTTTACTACTTGCCCTCTTGTCCTAGCAACAAATTTTTGAAGAAAAGTGGACAAAACAGCTTACTTCCATCAAAAGATCGATATTGTTTACTAGTTTCCTTTTCCAGTCAACATAGTAAATAGCAACCACGTGTTTGGCCTAATTCAAATATGGCACTAGTTTGGTCTGAAGCTAACGATTAAGATACTTTTAATGATGGCAGCAAGTGGCTTGAGATACAGGTCCTCGGATAGCGGCAGCACTTGGCTTGAGATACGGATTAGAAGGCTTGGCCAAAACTTCCGGTATTAATATAGTTCAGAAAGAAAAGCATGAAGGTTAAGGCAAAGCTTTACAATAGAGATATACAATATTGCTATTGTTATATAATTTTTATCTAC